TTTCGCGGATGACACCGCGCTCTTTTATTCAGACCGCAACCTTAGAATATTAACCACTCGACTCCAAAGCGCTGCCGACCGCCTCGGCGATTGGTTCCGCAAATGGAGAATAGAAACAAATCCCGAAAAGAGTGTGGCGATTCACTTCACACGAAGTACTTACCCGTCACATCTTTATAATGGCCCTCGCCAATGCAGAAAGTTGGGGCAAATATCCCTTTATGGCCAACCGCTCCCCTGGGAGAAAAAGGTCAAATACTTAGGAGTCACTTTCGACTCGCGTATGTCATTTACTACGCACATTAATAACGTTCGTAATAGAGCCGCGTTCGTCTCCGGCCGGCTACACAATTTAACTAACGCTAAAAGTAAAATGCCCTTAAGGCACAAATTATTATTATATAAGACCTGCGTACGACCTATTATATCCTACGCATGCATGATCTTCGCCCACACGCACCCTACTCGCTTGTACAAGCTGCAAATAGTACAAAATAAGTTCATCCGCCGTGCAACCGGTGCGCAGTGGTATCAACGCAACGTCGATCTGCACAGCGATTGCAGACTCCCGACGATTCGCGAATATTTTAAAGACCTGACCAAACGGTTCTTCGATAGAGCCGAACATCATCCCAACCCTCTGGTGGTAAGCGCAGCAAATTACCAACCCGACACAAACGCGAACGTCAACAAGCGTCGCCCGCGAAACGTCCTCATCGACCCGGTCGAGGAAGGGGACTTAGATACGCCGGGCCCACCGCCGGGGGTCCCGCCGGATAACACTACACCCACAGCTAGTGTAACAACAAACACAATAGTTCACCCTCGCCTCCGAGCACGGCGAGACCAACACAACGCGTACACAAGGTACACCCGCGTTCCAGGGCGGTTCTCACCGCCCCCAGCCACCGATTAGCTAAAAACACAGTCGACGGCCATCGGTTTTTTTTTTTTTTTTTTTTTTTTTTTTTTTTTTTTTTTTTTTTTTTTTTTTTTTTTTTTTTTTTTTTGGTTCTCGGTCCGCACCGCAACTTCGATGGCCCTTAGATGACATGTCGTAGTTAAACGCACGCATGAGCACATGCGCGGCCCTACCCACAGCGGAGGGCCCAAACCCCGTGGGTTCTGGCTAGCTCACCGGTTCTGCGTCAGATGAAGCTTTAATAGTCTCGGGACTGAAAGCAAAAACATCAGTTAATACAAAATACAAGATACAAGGCATAGTCCACCACGCGACCCCACTGCGGATTGGCGGACTTCACGGTCAGTAAGATACGTCTACTACAGAATAATCTTAAATTCCAAGTCCAAAATGTTATTCTTTGTTATACTGTGTTCTTGCTATTTTAAAGTTTATGATATTATTTTCTAAATTAATTGATTTTTTGTTTTTAGTTATAATTCTTACTCTCTATTTTTCTTCATTGATATTCTTTTTGTCATTTTAATTTTATTTTTTGGTCTATTTACTTTATTTTGGTTACTACACAATAAGTTTATTTTAATCGGATTTAATATTTTTCTGTTTTTGGTGTTTGTGGTGTTCGCCTGTAATTGTTCGTCACATATGTAATTTACTATGATGTTTCATCTTTTTAATGTTCAATGTGATATGTGAACGTACGTTGGTGAACCTCTTAAATAAATAAATAAATTATGGGCCACGCATTTGTATATGTTACTGTTCATTAGAATACAAATAATTGATTAAATTTAACTTTGCACATGAATAATAATTATTTTGAGTTGCGAGCGATATTCACAAAACTTATCTGATGTTTGCCGTATTAATATATCTTAAGGCATAATAATACACCTTGGTAGAAGTTTCGGCCAAAACTTTCAAGGTCTTGACTCAGCAACAATCTGGGTTAAGCTTCCCGTGAAATTGGTTATTCTGTGGTCTCGCATTCGATTGTAAACAGCCTTATTCATAGAAGTTGATTTCATTTCGGTTTCTAATCTCTGAAGTAATCATAGGTAGTAAAACACATGATTTTTTAAGGTCATATTATAACAGTAACGTAGTTTTACAATAGGTTTATCTTTAAAAAAAAATGGCATATTAAGAATAACATTTTAATACATTAATGAATTCTTTCATTCGATATTATAAAATAATAATGTTATAATTAGTATTATTTAGCAATCATTTGCAATGCACTTTTGCAAATTACTATACGGCTGCGTAGGATGGAACGTATAAAATATTTACAGACTTTCAGTAAATCGTGACAGAAAATCTTTACAGCCTTTCAGTAGGGATTTGCAAAAAAAAAATCAACTGTTAAACTATTATTGCGGAGAAGCTATAGTAATATTTTGCTTGTTTGTACACTTTACCAAAGCTGCTTGCGGAGAAGCTATAGATATATTTTGTTACTTTATACTAATATTTGTTTTCATTAAGGATTACTTGTTTGAAACATTGAATATAATTCAATTTTCAGTTGTCCAGAATAAGGATGCTCCTTGAGGCCATAGTCTATTGTACAACTCTGATTGGCAATCAAACTACAATTCATGTTTTATTCCGCAACACCTCTACCATGTGTTGTATTAGAATTAGTATAACTGAGTTAGGCTCCTGAATTACGCTTCCATTAAGTAATGTGAGAAACAATTATGTCTGTATGTAATTCACTATTTTTAGTAACCAAACTCTTTTTTTTTGCATGGAAAAATCCTTTATGGACCCTGCCACTGGATCAGAGCAGTGGCAGGGTATGTGGGAGTCCCGGCGAGAAACGGGTACCCACATTGCACCTGTGTCGCATCTGCCGGGGGGTCGGGAACACGTGGACGCAATCTTCCAGATCCCGGCGCGACTATGGCATTTTTAGACCTTCTTTACTACATGGTGCTGTGTCGGTGCAATTGGCACAGCACACGTCACGAGCCCCATATTAAGCGTCTTTAATAACCGGTTGATTACTAAAGTGTACATTCACGTTTATATTATTAGTAGGGGTTCCTACTATTAATATAAATGTGAATGTAAATTTGTTTGTAACGCTTTCACGCCAAAACTGCTCAACCGATTAACATGAAACTTTGTACACATATTTTTAATTAAAAAAATATTTTTAAATAAAATATACATATATTTAAGAGCTTTAGTGCGGGCCGGGCATGGGCGGGGCGCGGGCGAAAAGCTAGTAAGACATATTATCTCGCATGTTTGCTTATTAAAATATCGTGATTGTACGGCAAGTACACTTAAGATTCTATCTATAAACTTATCTGCAGATCCCAATCGTGTATCACGCGCTGTGTTCGTGCTTATATCACAAAGCGGATGGATTAATTGTAAAATTATCGAAACTGGTACTTTTAATTACATGATGTAGTTTTTGTAGCAAGGAACATTCAGTTCTAGTCAACATTGTCCCGTCATTTGTAGCGGAACATCTTTATTCTTCGGCTCAGCGGCTCAAGGTAGTGACTGTTATCTGTTCATTGTAATTAGTTTATTTACTGTAATTTTTAATAATTATTATTAGGGCGTGGAAGCGTTTTAACTCGTCTTATTCTTATAGAAGAGGAACTAGATATCAAATCCAGTTACCACTACTATTGAAATAACTGATCCTACAAAGTATTACCAAGTAGAAGTAAATAAAAAGTAAAGTAACAGCCTATATATTAAGTCCCACTGCTGAGGAAAGGAGTCTTTTGTACAGAGGAAGTATAGACCACCGAGCGACCTCACTGTGGAATGGCAGACTTCACATGACTCAGAAATATTTTTTTATTATTTCTTTCACCGTTTAGCAAGCGATGAGTTACTTGAACTTTTTATGCTTGAAATTGCAATTAACAATTTATTGGTGGGCATTTGATTTGACCAAGTTGCTTAAGTATATTGAATTAGAAGTTTTTGACCTTTATTACCAAGTACTCACAGGAATAAGGACATTCTGTGCTCATTAGTGGAAAATGATGACTATATATGACATGGTAACTACGATTTTCTCGGCAGTATGGATATACTGATATATAATCAGGTTAAATACGGAGAAAAGAAGTAACAGTTTAAAGTTGTTTAAACATTTTTATCGATGAATTATTTTATTACCGTTTATAATAGACCAATTTAATGTCATATTTTAGGGCTCCGTACCTTAAAAGGTAAAAAAGGAACTGTCTGTCTGTTTGTGTGCCACCGCCGATTTTCTCAGGAACTGCGCAAACTGGGGAACTGGGAACTGGGATAGGTTTTGGGTTGAAAACCTTAATTCTAATTCCCGTTGACCTAGAATTACGAAATTTGGCAAGAAGCGAGGTCTTACAGCACAAATATAAGAAAAATTTCCTAAAAATAAAAAAAAATAGCCCATATCTTCTTATCGTGTTTATTCAGGACCTTGATTTTTAAACACCAAATAGGGACTATGGACTTCAGTATCTGTATAAATTTCAACTTGCTAGTTCCACCCGTTCCTGAGAAAAACGGTGGTGATTTTTTAACAATTTTATTATGGCGGTGTAACGGTGTACCCTCGGCGTATAAGTTCGACCCGCACTTGACCGATTTTTTCATATTTGTCTGACTTCACTTTTCAATTCTGTTTTGAGAGCCGTAGGTGAAATAATGTATAGAGGGTTTTACTTTAAGATCTGTAGCAGTACTTGTGCAAAGGGTGTTGTGGAAAATCCGGCTTGTAATATTTTGTACGTTTTTGACAAAGTTCAATTTCACTGATATTGAATATCAGTGAAATTCAAAAGATTAAAAATGTAGTTTCTAGCACTGTAGTAACGCTTTCATTATCTTTATCAAAGTAATCATTGATTATTGAGTTATAATCGTTTATACCTTTAGTCATAACAATTGCAATAAGTAGTAGCAGATATGCGCACATAAATTAAATATTTTACCAGATTGAGATTTTCGATAAATCACTTAGAATAAATTGGTTCTCCATTGCGGCTGCACATTCACCGAATACGATTTAACGATATGTCAATTTATTTGTTCATTTTTTATTATTAACTAAATGGAACGTCCGGAGTACGAATACGATAGAATGCAAAAAAATATTCCAGCTAGAATGGATACGTCTATTAAATATCAGTTATTAATAGTGGCTTGCAGTAAGTTTAAATTATTAAATACATCATAACACATTTAATATAGAATTAAATTATTCAGCCAGTGGAGTTAAGTTGTCGTGATTGCTTAAAGTGTTAGTTTAACGTTTCAATTCTTCTTGAAGTGGCTGTATTTGGAGCGGTATATTTTTTTTATTATTAGTGATTAAGCTATTAATGTATAAAAAAACGTTTCGCAGATATTTGACGTCTTGTATGCCCTAATATCCTTTAATCACATGTGACATGTACAGGCTGTTACTACAATTTACTTTATTGCTATACACTGTATAGGTTGATACTTCATGACTCAACATGATCATGTCAATTTTCAGTCAACATTGGTCAGATCGTTGTTGGATACAGCGTGGGCTGGTCGGCCCCAATCATCCCGAAGCTACAAGATAATTCTACGAGTCCCTTACCAGAGCCAATCACAGATCTTCAAGCGTCATGGATTGGGTCGTTGCTTTACATAGGTGCCATGATCGGTGAGATTATTTTTGTGTTATCCTTGTCACGTTACATAATGTTAAATTAGGTATTGCTCCTGTGTAGGAACGATTTGCTGGGTCACATAAAGTTCTCTTTGTTAAATTATATCAAACTTTGGAAGTATTGTTGTGACAAGTGGGATAATTCTTTTTCCATAATTATTGGAGTAAAACTATTCAGGAAGGAAATGAAGGTAGAGTTCTTAGCACCAAATGGAATAAGGCTGTTAGATAACTTATTTAGTAGTTGGTATCCTTTCTTCTACCCTCCCTCATTAGTGCGGTCAGCCCAAGATGTGAATCGTGTTGTCAATTGCGATGGCTAGGTTTTTTACGACCGGCCGCCTGTTTGACATTAGCCTTTCTTTGCCAAGCACATTTCTTTTACTGCAGTATATCATTGTACTGTATTGTAGGGCCGTAATACATACGCAAATGCGCGTGGTTCAATTTCGCGTGGACTAATATCCAGATCCGGAAAAAGTATCAAAATTGAATTAAGTTTAGTTAGAGAAATAGATATTTAGTTTAGGGACATTTGTAGCAGTCTGCGCATGACAGTTGTGACCTTATGGCGGCTATTTTGAGAATTAAAACGCTGAAGTATCCTTTTTGTACGTTCGGTGTACAATAAGCTGTTAAGAAGCTACTATAATAAGAACCTATTTACTAATCTATATAAAGTGTAAAGATTAATGAACCAAAGGTTCATCTTCACAGGGCAAGTATTTGCTTTACAACAAGTATGTGTGTACCTACTTATATACGCACGTAAGAATTTATACTTCTTCAGAGTAACAAAAAATTAATAACTAACTAAAAATTTTATCAATCCTAGTAGAAAAAAACAGTGAAAACACAAAAAAGTAACAGTATTTTAAAGTGATCAATACCACCATTTGTTTTTGTTACAGGCCCTTATGTCACTGGTATTCTGTCAAACCTGATCGGAAGAAAACCATGCTTGATGATCGGCAGTTGCCTGAACATCCTATCTTATGTACTTGTGATCACGACGAAGAACATCGCCATGGTGATGGCGTTAAGGGTCACAAGTGGTCTTGGTATGGGTATCACAACAGTGTGCAACCTGGTTTATGTCGGTGAAATTGCGTAAGCATTTAAATTAATTTTTCACTTCAGTATTACAGAGTGAAGATTGGGAGAATAGAAAAATACTAAAGATGAACTTTTCAATTGTAGCCAACAGTTGAAGTTTCAATCAAGTTTAGCGCCAAAATCTTTGACTTCCGATTTAATAGCGAAAGTCTTCTCTTATAACAAGTTCGTGATTTGGTTAAAAATAACCTTTTGGTAATTTGCCATCATTATTTAAAGGATGAGGAAACTGTTCAAGGTCTTTTATGAAATCAGTGCTGGCATTTGGTAATCAATTGTAATACAGACATTGACCCGTTAATCTTCGCTGAATCTTAAACATGAAAATGCAAGATTAATTAAAAGCCTATTTCTCTATCTTATCACATAACCATGTAAGATAAAATTATAAGTACAGTTCGAAAATTTTAATACTATTGATACGTAGGATACGTGGAATGGACTAATGAAAAATCACGTAAATTTAAATAGTCCTTTGGAATCTTAGTAGACTTTCAGTAGGCATTAAGGAAAAAGGAAGAAATACAAGTGCCAAGACATTCTTAAAGTTGTATTACAGATGGTAATGTACAAATGTTTGGTCGTTGGCAATAAATTTAATAGAAAAATGTAATCTTAATTTACTGTAATCGTTTACGACGACCTTACTAATCAAATATATGAAAGTGGTCTTATTATCTTATCGTAGCCGTAAATTTTTTGGCCTCTACTTCTTTAAATCTTTTTACGCTGTCATTCTACACTAATCGCAAATTTATGATTCTTCATACCTTTAAATTGTTTTCTATGTTGGTACTGATTTCATGATGAAAATTAAGTTTACAAATGTAAATAAGATTAATTTAATTTTTGTCAATGATAATGGGATAATCAAGCTAGTTAATTTGAGTCAACCATCATTTAGCCCGTATCATTTCAACTCTCATGTTATGAATATTCCCGGTAATTGAAACTTTAGGATTTATATTTTTATCTTAAAAGTTTAACCGATTAACAAATCTAATAGTAATTTATTCCCTACCAAATGAAGTATCTTGTTATCGTCACTTTTCGTATACCCTTTAGGTCCACTCATATAAGAGGCATATTGTTGACGTCAACTGGTATTGTTGGCATCACTGGTACATTAATAGTGTACTCTGTTGTACCATTCGTATCTTACGTGGCGACTGGATACATAGCTTTGGCAGTGAGCATCGCTCATTTCGCGGGTTTATTTTTCGTGCCGGAATCACCCGTATACTACGCCATGAAAGGTAATTATAGATAAAGCTAACAATATTCCTTCTAATAAAATTCTCACTCATTGTTATTACACAGCCGATTCGGCTATTGAATGAATGGGTAGGCTCGTTCGGGGAAGCATTACGATCGCACTGAAGATCAGTATGAAGTACAAGTTGTAGTCTTTTACATTTCACTTGTTGTGCTATCCTTGGTCGAATTTTTTTTAAAGATTGACAAGGTAATATCCATGGACGACGTGAATGGGATAACATTAGGTGAATCGTCAGCTCGTTTGCCTCATTCTCAAATAAAAAAGTGTAAGTTAATATGGAAAACGAATTTGGACATGATATTGTTTCGACGAACTTTCTAAACAACTCTAAAATATAAACACCCGGTTGGTTTAATGACACTTAGGAGTTTATCTTAAACAGGTTAATCTTGTTTCTAATGTCAGAAAACTGTTTTTCAATTTTAGGCCAAGAAATAAAAGCAGCAAAAACCCTTAACTTTTTGGGAAGATCAAAGGATGTGGACAAAATTTTGGAGACTTTCTCCCAGAAGAAAGGTGAATCACCGAGCAAAATCAAGGACTGGATTGAGATTTTCACCGTCAAGTCAAATAGAATGTCTTTGTTCATTACTTTCACATTGGGAGCTCTTCAGCAAACCAGCGGTGTTGCTGTCGTGCTGTTCTTCGCTACAACAATTTTCCATTTGGCTGGATCATCGATAAGGCCTGACATTGCTACTATAATCATTGGAGTTACGAGATTAGTCTCGAGCTTAATAGCCCCTACCTTCGTAGAGAGATCCGGAAGAAAAATACTTTTGCTAGCTTCGATGACGGCTTGCGCTTTCAGTCTGGCAAGTATATCTTATTTCTTTTAAATGTGTCTCCATAAACATGATAGGTGACACCAACTGTCTCTTTTGGGACTGAATAACTTTGGTGACATGCAGATATAACTTGTAATCTTTATCTATCTTCTTCTTCTAACTTGTGCTTTTAACCGACTTCAAAAACGAAGGTGGTTCTCAATTGAGACCCTCCGGCTTTTGAAGTCTGTTAAAAATGTTTATGATGTTGACGTAATTACCTACCACTGGAATATTTTGAATGTACGGTGACTAAGTTACGAAACTTGACCGAATTTGCATCGCGAATATCTTATCTTAATGATAACTTGTATTCGTGGCAATGATTTTGGATTTGTTATCGAACTTAACATTTCGATAACAGATTTCCGGCTTTATCACTAAGTGGTGTTCTGTTGCACAATGCAATGGTATTTTAATATTTAATAACTGATTCGAAATTTATGATCTATCACCTATCATGTTTATATGTTTGTTATATAAACCCCACTTTTGGGACTAAATACGTTTAGTGACCTACAGATATAATTAGAGAAATATTATCTTTATCTGACTCATTAAATTGTGTTTTGATGTACGTCATTACCTACTATTGGAATATCTTGAAGTAACTGAGTTTTGAAGTTTTACCGTATTTTTGGCTCGAATGTTTTATCCTAATGATAATTTGTATTCGTGGCCGTGATTTTGGATCTATTATAGAACTAATCATTTTGATAACGCCTTTAAACTACTTATATTCGTATCTAATAAATACAGATTAGCTTTATCATTAAGATTTAATATTTAAAACCTCATACAAAATTTATCGTATGCTTTCATTTTTTGCCATCGTATTCACTGCAAGTTTAAGGTTCCATACCAAAAATATAATCAATTCCGCCAGCTATATAAAGATAAATTTTGTAGTTAATTTTGAAATTTCTTCCGTGTGGGAATCCAAACCGAGACCCCAGCTTCGAAGCCAATAACTACGCCACTGAGTCAAGAACGTTAGTAAAAGTTATATAAATACACATTAAATTAATACGTTCGCAAATATTTTTAACAACTTTTAGGCAATTTAACTTTTACGAATTGTCTGTCTACGACCTGGAAGTCAAACTATTTATAGTTAATATCGGAATTGAGGAAGTTAAACTATTTATAATGAATATCTGCAAGTCGTTTCAGAAAATACTATTTAATAAAAATGATCTGAAGTATTCTTATATATTTAAACATGGTTTCAAATATTTTCGGTGTTTAACACTTTTGTGTTGAACCGTGATAGCTCAGTGTCCGGGCGCTCGCCTTTAATTAAATATACTCGAGTAACCTGACTTCGATCCCCGATGCCGGCACCAATCAAATTATTAATTTCAAGTGCTGAATTATCACGTGCTCAGCGGTGAAGGAAAACGTGAAAAAAAATATTTCGAAGATAATACGTGAAGTCTGCCAATTCGCGGTGGAGCCGCGTAGTGGACTATGTCCTAATACCCTCTGTAAATAGGAGGCCTTTGCTCAGTATGTAAAGGCTGATACTTTTTACTTTAACACTTTTGTATCTTTTTCTTACAGGCAATACTTGGCCTGTATTTCTACTTGGATCGAGTACAAAGCTCAGTCCTTGAGTCGATCGGTTGGCTGCCCCTGGTCGCATTAATTATATATTTCTTTTCATATGAAGCTGGTGAGTAGGCCTTCACATGGCGAATATATATTGGATTAGTTTATGGCTACTTAACTATTTCCCTAAGAACCATGATCACAAAACAAGGGGTAAGAGGTAGATTCGGTAACACGATACCCAATCGCATAGTTTTGTATTTATACCATAATGAAGAAAGGTTCTCGAGTCGCAGCCTCGTACTGGCCATCGCAGTGTTGGACGACCGCCCGCTAGATGGAGTGACGAGCTGTGCAAATGTGCGGGAAGTCATTGGATGCATGTGGCTCGGGATCGTACTACGTGGCAGTCTATGTTCAGCAGTGGACTCAAACTGGGTGAAATGATGATGATGATGAGATGTAATGAAAGTAAAGTTACAGCTTCTAAATGTTGTTACATTTAGTAGAGAAACTAATCTGGTGAGAGACTTATGAAGGAAATATTGGCCCAAAAGATTTTAGGATGTTTGTTTTCATGAGATGACTTCAGAGGCATTTTGCTCAATTGTTTATGAATATTTCATATGTTTCGACTGTTACTGTCGTTTTTAATTTTTCCAATCAACTTGACCAACCGATGAGGTTCTCCATTCAATTGTATTTTCTTCAATTGTAGTTTTCTTGGGGTCCCATATTAATTCCCATATTGGACCTTTATTAATGATCATCAGGGAAATCTTCGAAATGAAACAGAAAATGTATAGTTATGTCATATAATGTCAGTAAGATATTTGAATTCGGTTTTGCTTTTTGTTAATAAAAATATACGTGTCAAAATAAAGTCACATCTATGTCTATGTTTATACTGAGTCCCGTCCGTTTCACGGTCTTAATCAAAACCAAAATGAAATCAAATCATTTATTCATCGAAATAAGAAATATACATTTCATTTATCGATAGTAATTTTTTTAAATCTACCACCGTTTCGTAATGAGGTTCTTCTAACGGAGAAGAAACAGGCGAAAGAAACTCCATAGGTATCCTCTTTTTAGTCATTTTTTTCTCCAATAATTACATTGTTATACATATTTAGAAACAGCTTAGGAGCGATCATCTCATTCCCGGGGGTTATTATCGTTAATGAATTCATTTATATTATAATAACTCTTTTTTAATAGGTTTTTCTTTAATAAATTTCTTAAACCTTTTAATAGATAGGCTTTGCACATTAACTGGGATTTTGTTGTAGAAGCGTATACACCGTCCCTTGAACGAGTTACTGACTCTATGGAGTCTAGTAACTGGCGTTACAAGCTTGTGTTTATTCCTAGTGTTTACGTTATGTACATTAGTATTTTTATTAAAATTATTAATGTTACTATGCTGCTACACAGACCTTTACTTATTTTTTTTGTTTTTTTGTTATATGTTTACATTTATTTTAAGTTTTGTATGTATAAATTGAGCTTAGATCGTGAATAAACGTTTCTTCTTCTTCTTCTTTATCATCATCATTGTCTATAGCTGCTTTGTCTATGTCTAATCTAAATTACAAACGCAAGCTTACGTCCCTTTCAGGTTTCGGCACGATACCGAACGCAATCGTCGGCGAAATGTTCCGAGCGAACGTGCGCGCCAATGGCTCCGCCCTCGCCATCACCTTGACCTGGCTAGTGGGTTTCGGCCTTACCACGAGCTTCACCACGATGGTGGACGTGCTGGGCGGTGACGTCACCTTCTGGATATTCGGCGGCACATGCGTCGTCGCCTTCTTTTTCACGTATTTCTTTGTGCCGGAAACGAAGGGGAAAACTCTGAACGAGATACAGGATATGATGAGTTAATTGTTCGGAACATGGGTGGGGACTTTATTCATCGTCGATTTTTGTGTAGTGACTGATTTGTTTTGCCGTGTATTGCATGCGATATTGAGGGGTATATTAACGTATAATTGGAATGTATTCATTATTACGTGATTCCGAGTACAATATTATGTTACGTTATTATTAAATTAAAAATACGATAAAACACAGGCCTCTTTAATTTTTATCAAAGCCATTTAATAGAACTTATTAATTTTTAAATAAATATTAAATATATCTTTTGGTCATATATACGTCCAATGTTTTGACTGATCACATCGTTTTTTAAATTCGATCCCTCCACGGGAAAATAGTACTCTGTTGTTATTCCTACACAGCTACAGAAGGATATCATTGTTTTCGTATATGGGAAAGGAGACCTCTTTACGAAAGTTCTACTATGCTCCTAGTATTGGCCAAAGAATCGCTTATGAGAGCTGATTCTAAGGTAGATTTTTTCATCTATTCCGTGGATTAGATTAAATAGTTACATACATATTAAGTACCTGGAGGACCGGTTTGTTTTATTTTTTTTTTTTTTGGTAAATCGCGTATTTTGGAAATTCCATTTAGATACAAATTACTAAGTAATGAAATATGCATAATATTTTTCGATTTTACCGACGTAATAATAACAAAATATGAACTGGTGTATTTCACAAAAGAAAGAACTTTAAAAAAAAAAGGGGAAAAAATAACAAACTAACAAATCGACAAAAAATAAAAGATAAAGAAAGCAATGATCTGGAATCGAACATAAAGTAAAAAAATCAGTGTGTAAATGATCGTGATACGAACGAAACGCGGCCGTTTGTTTTGGGACCGCCCGATTACCGACCGAGCTATTATAACATTTTATTTTGTGGCGAAATTTACCGTCATAATCGAATGATATTTTTCATTCCCTGAAAACATGGATAAAAGGACATTTTCTAAAAATGAAACCTAGCTAGATCGATTTTTCGCCCGAATCTACGCACATACTAAATTTCATGAAAATCGCTGGAGCAGTTTCTAAGATTCAAATTATATATATATATAAATACACATATTATACAAGAATTGCTCGTTTAAAAGATAAGATACATACTTAAAAATAATTTATATACTTATCATGAAACTAATGAAAAATTGTAAAGCTTATTTTATAAAAGTAAATAAAATATCAAAGAATATTTGAAATTAATAAGTCATATTTGCTAAGACATCGACGGGGCCAGTGTCATTTATTTAAAGTCTAAAGCATTGCACGAAATTTTTCCACGAAATTCGAACCGGTTACATTATAGATTCACCGCGGTGCAGGTGGTTGGAATGTATCACTTTTACTTTTTAGTTTTTCAACTACACAATATGTATAAAGAGGGAAAATTGACTAAAATATTAGTCGACGGGCTATATGACCTTTTAGACGTTAATTTATACGCAAAGCTTATTCAAAATTACGTTAAGTGAACACAAACAGACCAAATGTTGGTATAAATAAAAAAGAATAATAGTTAGAGACGGTTGCGGAATGATTTTAAGTAAATAACTTGGCCCTTCAATTTTTATGGGACATAAAGAGGGTAAATTAGACGGAACTTTTCATCTTTGCGTAGTTACACTTTTACTTCAGACCTATTACAATGCGTAAAGCTCTGGAGGAGTTTACTGGCTTTAGAGCCGTGATAGCTCAGTGTCCGGGCGCTCGCCTTTAATTCAATATACTCGAGCAACCTGAGTTCGATCCCCGGTGCCGGCACCAATGAAGTTTTTAACTTTAAGTGCTGACTTATCACGTGCTCCGCGGTGAAGGAAAACATCGTGAGGAAACCTGCATATTTTCGAAATAATAACAAAAAAAAATGTATTTCGAAGATATGTGAAGTCCGCCAATTCGCAGTGGGGCCGCGTGGTGGACTATGCCCTGATACCCTCTCTATAGAGGAGGCCTTTGCCCAGCAGTGGGACATGTATAGGCTGTTACTTTAGGCAGTAAACTTTACCAATACTTAACATTGGGATAGTATTTAAGTTAAGGATAGACAAAAGATGGATATTTCTATATAACATTCTCCTTTGTGTAAAAGAAAAATTCAAAAGTAACGTTAGTCAATAATTTTTAACACAATCGATACGTGAACGAGTTTTTACGAATAGTTTTTTAAATAATTCCTTACTAATATTATAAACGCGTTTGTATTATGTATGGATGTTTGTTACTCTTTCACGCAAATAATACTGAATGGATTTTAATGAAACTTTACAATAATATAGCTTATACATTACAATAAGACATAGGCTATAATTTATATACATATTTTATGTATATCTGTCTATCTGTCTGAATGTTACGCCTTCAGTCTATTCTACACAAACGTAGTCGCGGGCAGCAGCTAGTATTAAATAAATTCCTTCGGCCATTTTTGGTTTGGGAATTCTTAACGGTCATGTCTTATACCCTAAGTCTGGATTGTGGTCATTGTTTGGTTAAGTACGAACTGTTGGATGTAAAGCTTATCTTATAAATACTAAATATACATTTTTCTTATATGTATATATAGTATTAAGTGTCAAATTGTATGGGAGAATACGCTAAAGAAACCGACCGTAACGATGCGAACCTTATGTTCTAGTACGTTCTGTGTATTTGCAACCCACAAAGAGATATCCACAGTTTTATCGGAAATTTAGAAGGAAATAGTATTTTCTAATTCTATTTGACTTTTAGGCTCGACTAAGAGCATTTAAATCCAGAGAATAGACTAAGAGATCTTAGGACTTAAGTGAGGTCATTTTATTTATCTAAGCCATTATTCGTGACACGAGCGTCATTGGATAATCTGGCCGTTTTTGTGTGTATAAATTCTTGTGCGCGTGAAAAATTATGAGTAAAATCTTACTGCTAATATGATATCTTTCGCAAATTGTAATAGAAAAATAACTATAAGATAAAGATATATTAGCATCCGTTATTTGAATTTATGGTCTGTCCATATTTTGGATTTATATATATTATATGATTTATATAAATATATAAGTACTGATATATTTTTTTACGGTTGATTTAATGTCGGTTTCGTGATTCGTATAAAAACTAAACGCCCCATAAAAAGAAACAATTCTATTTTTGCGACGTCAGAAGGTAATTACGGGTAAACCATGATTGAAATCAACAGTATGGTTACTCGAGGACCTTCCTTGACTAAAGTCAAGAACGGGCGGCGGTTCGACGTTACAATTTTTTTTTTCAATTGCCTGCCATTTTATAATCATCGTTCCGGTTCTCATTTGATGCTTTATTAGTAAGCGGCGTCGAGTTTAGTACATAATTGTCCGTGGTCCTTTCAACAATGCCTTGCGCATAGTGCCACACTAGCTTGCTCAACTGTGATCTACCGATTCGTGCGTGGTTTTTATGGTTTCCTTTACGCATCTCTCATCACCGGTGCACGAATGGAAAAACGTATATTTATGAAATCAGTATAGACAACATAACAACAGCATTGATTTAAACTTTCCTCGCGATGGATTCGTATTTAAAAACGCAGATTTTAATTGTGTCCTGTGGTAAGTAACAATAAGTTTTAACAAAAACAGAACATTGTTTAAAATTTTAAGTAAGTATATATGTAGTGGTGAATAATTGCGAAATATAAATGATTATATTCATAATAATGTCAATATCATACGAATATTTTTAATAATTAATTATTTATGACGTAGTATATGGGTTAAGATTAATTATGTAACATTTTTGAAAAGGTATGCAAATCGAGACTTTTCTTTAGCCATGCCATAGCAATGAGTTGTAATGACTCAATTATACCTTACTGATTATTAATAATTAATATTGAATATATGAATAAGGTAATGTCATATCACTATATTTTTCAAATGTGTAAACGAATAATGTGAAGTACATATTTATAGAAATGGAAAAATAAACTAAATGCTAACTTAACTAAAATCTGTACTTGAGCAGTTCAGTGGTTGTAATTCAGTATTTAAACTTCGGTTTGACATTCGATTCTGAGACAGACATTGACCAATTACTCACCATGGATTTTTAACCGACTTCAAAAGGAGGAGGTTCTCAATTCGACTGTATTTTTTTTTATTTTTGTTACCTCAGGACTTTTGACTGAGTGGATCGATTTTGATGATTATTTTTTTATTTGAAAGTTGGTGCTTCCCATATTAATTTCATTATTCAAAGTCAAAGTCAAAGTCAAAGTATATTAATTCAATATAGGCCTAACTTACTCACCATGCCGCGTGGATTAGGTTTATTAGATAATATGTAATTTTAGATAGATTTAATCTTGTAAATATTAGATCAATAAAGATTGTCTTTGTGTTCTAATTCCGAAAAAAAAAAAAAAAAAAAAAAAAAAAAAGGCCTAACTTAAGCTCTTATTGAACGTCAACAAAAAATCTACCACCGGCTCATTAAACTAGACCTGCACAGAGAAGAACCGGCAAGAAACTCTGCGGTCTTGTTCTTTTTGTTATTTTTTTTTTGATGCAATTTTATTAGTAATAGGTAGTAATTTGCAGATTTATTAGTAATAGGTATTGGATCTTGGGCTCCGGAGATACTTAGGGGGGAACTCCTAAAAACAATTATAAAATGAATACAGGGCGAGATATTTGACGTCGGTTTTTTTTGTTAGTAAAAAAATAGTTATTTTTATTTTCATATCACCTATATTTACTTCATGTCGTTCCGAAATTAATCCAGTTGATTCGAAAGCAATTGAATACCTTAAATTTTTTTTGGTAAAACCAAAAAAGAGATTCGGAATCAGATTTGACCTAAAAAAATTATGTAACATTTCGTTTTTCCAGTCAACATCGGCCAGTTCATAGACGGGTACAGCGTCGGCTGGTCGGCGCCCATCATACCGAAGTTGCAGGATCCTGAACAGACGCCTCTGCCGGAGCTGATAACAGAACTCCAGGTCTCCTGGATTGGTTCGCTTCTTTACGTGGGCGCTATAGTTGGTGAGTTATCGTATTAATTACTCACTTTTATGTTATTTATACTGGCGATGTTCTTTCCGGTTTTATACAAAAAACGGAAAGAACCCGTTTTTATACAAAAAATCAAATGCTTTTACGTATTTTATATGTAACTAGCGACCCGCACCGGATTCGCATGGGTGCCATATATATATATAAACGTTCCTCTTCAATTACTCTATCTAGTAAAAAAAAACCGCATCAAGATCCGTTGCGTAGTTTTAAAGATCTAAGCATACATTGGGACAGACAGTCAGGGGGACGACTTTGTTTTATACTATTTAGCGACGCAAACGAAGTTGTACAGTTTGTTGAAAATGCTCTCTTTTAGAATTGAGTAATGTTGAGGAGTTAGCTTGAATTGTTGATTTTTACTAGTCCTGGATAGCTTCACTGCTGTTTGTGGGCGTCATTTGTATGTATATTGGTGTTGTAGACTTATCTTTTATATTTGCAACAAGAAGAACAAGAAGAAAGAGAGTAAAGTGCTTTTTATATTTTTTAATTTAACACAAACGGAAATAAATGCTTGCAGTTCGTTGAAAATGCTGATTCTTCTAACGTTGAGTAATATTGAAGATCCGATTAAAATAAACTTATTGTGTAGTAACCAAAATAAAGTAAATAGACCAAAAAATAAAATTAAAATGACAAAAAGAATATCAATGAAGAAAAATAGAGAGTAAGAATTATAACTAAAAACAAAAAATCAATTAATTTAGAAAATAATATCATAAACTTTAAAATAGCAAGAACACAGTATAACAAAGAATAACATTTTGGACTTGGAATTTAAGATTATTCTGTAGTAGACGTATCTTACTGACCGTGAAGTCCGCCAATCCGCAGTGGGGTCGCGTGGTGGACTATGCCTTGTATCTTGTATTGTGTATTAACTGATGTTTTTGCTTTCAGTCCCGGGACTATTAAAGCTTCACCTGACCCAGAACCGGTGGGCTAGGCAGAACCCACGGGTTTGGGCCCTCCGCTCTGGGCAGGGCCGCAGTAAGGCCGCACATGTGCTCATGCTTATTGAAGATTTAGCTTAGATTGTTGATTTTTACCCGGTCGTGTATTTTATTGTAATTGGTTACTAAACCTACTATAATAGGCATAACCATAACATTAAAATGTCAAATTCCGCAGTCTGCCCCTAGATTATAACTGCTGTTGATAATAGAAGTTATACCGCCGGAACTTTCAAATTTAAATTCAATGAAGTTATTCGTTTTGTAAAATAACTTTTTTTAACTAGAACTAAATTTGGAATTTACTGGAACATGGCGGCAAATTTGTTACAATTAGGACCACGAAGCTTCAATACGAATGGAAAGCGTTTAAAGCCAGATCAAAAAACTATCGTAAACCCATAAACCCAAACAAGCGTTTATCAAACATTGGAACCATTTAAATGAGAAAGTTCTAAATTTTCAGCTACTCTGGATTACTATTTTAACTTTACATACAGTATTAATACAGCACAACAAAGTCACAGAGGAACTTATCATAACTTAACATCAGGTGAACCACCAGCCCATTTGCCAACTTTTCACATAAAAAGACGCTATTTCGTGCCTTCGCGTGATTATTTTGAATTAAAGCAAATAATTGGGACAATTTTTTGGGACAAGAAGTATCCACAAGCAAATACCTGACGGTAACCACCGTAGGTACCGTCTTGGGTGATTCAGACAACCGACTTCTTATAGTATAGTTTGTAAGTCGGGTTGAAATTTGAAAGAGCAAAAGCCGACACTTGATGTTGCGCAGCAATCATTTAATATGTCAGCATATTGACTTTCATTTAATGTAATTGCTACATGTGCAATATTCATACGTTCAACACATCACTCATGACATTGAATATTGAAGCAAATTTTTATATTTCTACTGTTGTTCGTAACACCTGTATTAACATTTACGTATAATTATTATTTGTATTCCATTTAAGAGCGTTTACTTTATACTTAGTATTTGAGTTTCAAGATGACTTTTAAGTGATGGTTTTACTAAAGGACTGACATGTAATTAGTCTTAGACTCTAGGTCGAGATCATTAAGTTTGTAGGTTTTATTACAGAAAAACAAATTCAATCCAAACTTCATGATTTTTAAATGAAAAGTGACTTGAAACCAGACACTGATTGAGCTAAAAGCACGACTCAAAAATCTCGTCAACAACTAAGTGTAAAGATATTCAGAAACAAACACAAACCGACAGTTTCTAATAAAATTTTATATTGTTACATACTGGGCGTGGCACCCACAAGACGCAGCTTTGAATGTTGATTACTGGCGCAGAAGATTTTTCGATATTTTTTCTATTAAGGTCGCGTTAACATTTCGTCTTAAGTGCAGACTAGCACTAAATATAAAAATCGCAATAATATTCCTGAAAAAATTTGAGAGAAAAATCAATGTTAAATTTGGCCGGAAAGTTTATTTTTTGCATAGTTTTCCTTACGACCTTTACGGTTAGTTGCTAGAGCGATTGGGCGCGTAATTCGGAAGGAGTGAGTTCGATTCCTGAGTCTCAGGTTGATCGCTTTAAAGTATCAGCCTATACATGTCCCACTGCTGGGCAAAGGCCTCCTCTGTGCAGAAGGTATCAGGGTATGGTTCACCACGCGGTCCCACTGCGTATTGGCGGACGGTACGTATCTTCGAAACATTTTTTTTTGTTATTGTTTCGAAAATATGCAGGTTTCTTCACGATGTTTTTCTTCACCGTGAGCACGTGATAATTCGGCGCTTAAAATTAAAAGTTTCATTGGTGCCGGCACCGGGGAACGAACTCGGGTTGCTCGAGTATATTGATTTAAAGGCGAGCGCCCAGACACTGAGCTATCACGGCTGTTGATCGCTTTGATGGCGCTTAACTTCAACAACGAACTTTAGGGAGTCTTAACTCTAGATCCCTTCCAATAAAGTCGCCAACACTTTGTTGTTGTTGTTTTAAAAACAACTTTATGGAAAACCAGCTGCTGCCCGCGACTACGTCTGCGTAGAATAGGCTGAAGGCGTAACATTCAGACAGAAAGACAGATATACATAAAAGTATGTATATAAATTATAGCCTATGTCTTATTCTGATGTATAAGATATATTATTGTAAAGATTGATGAAAATCCATTCAGTAGTATTTGTGTGAAAGAGTAACAAACATCAATCCATTCATACAAACTTTCGCGTTTATAATATTAGTAAGGATGGGCATGCACAAGTTTATCGTACACTGGTTATGTCAGCAAAATCCTTTTCCTCTAAAACATTGCCATCACACGTTACGTAACTCCTTTGATTCTTGTGCAACATTTTATCAGCATCCCTGTGCCAAAATAATACGAAGTTTTTGTTAAGGCAACCGTTACCAGGGATATATTCATTGAAATTGAGGATGTTATTTTTTTCGTCGACAGACGTGAGTTCCCGTGGCAAAGCATACATAGATAAAGTAAAATATATTTTACTTTACCTATAATATGCATTTATTTAGAAAAGAAAAGTATGTTTAAGTACCCATGATTATCATTTACCCAGTAACCATAGACGTCGTATGTTGGGCTAGATGAATTTGTGTTAAAATATGTTGTTCCATATTCATAAAACGTGAACACTTTATTTAAAGTTGCATTCCAAATTAGCATGTTATAAATTGCTTGGTTGGAAAAATTTATTCAAGAATCAATAAATTAAACATTAAATAATAGCAATAGAAAAATAGTATGTCTTAAAAATTGAAGATAAAGATACGAATAATGTTTCAAATTCAGTTTTTTTTTTACAAAGCCAATTTAAAATGTATGAAAACGTATATAGGTAACAGCAGTTTATAATTCAATCGAGTGGCCCGGCGACCTTAATTCGTCCTAGACGCTACTTTTTGTCATCTCTGCATATATTATTCATCTCTAAGGGGCATTAAAATATTTGGCGCTTATGATAATTTTTTTAGTAAAATGCTATCAAGAGTAAAACTTTGAAAATGCTGAGTAAAGTGAAAAGAAACTGCTAATATCTATAATATCAACGGTACATACAATTCATACCCAAAGTTACTCCCCCATAACAATGTAGACAGAAACTTAATTTTTTTACCCAACTGCGCCAGAAGGAGGGTTATGTTTTTCGAAAGTATATATGTATATTATAATTGTTTGGCACGCTCTGCAGCCTGAACGGCTTGATGAGTTTTAGCTTGAGAGGTGTCGTTAGATTCGTATTTACTGTGAGAGTGACACTGGGTATATTAAAATAAAAAAAATTACACAGAAATGCAGTAGGGTTTTTTATTTCTTTAATTATACTCTACTTGTTGCTAGACAGCCAGTGCTGTGGCACAAGTGGCACCTTACGGTGGCATATTTATCATCGCCGTCGTCGTGGTCGTCGTGTTAATATGTATTATATGTTATACGTATATAAATGATTATTATTTTAAAGATTTTTATACCGTCGTTTTTTAATACCATCACTACATAGTATAAATTAAAGTCGTTCCGCTGTCTGTTTGTCCCTATGACCAGTTGCGTAGTTCTAAAGACAATTAGGACCAAGACCTAATAGTCTTTAAAACTACGCAACGGATTTTGATGCGGTTTTATTTTCTAGATAGAGTGATTCAAGAGGAAGGTTTATATGTATAATACGGGTGCTGGACAACAAGCGGACGACAGTTGTCAATAAATATGAAATTTAAAAACAAAAGACATTATACTCAATGGAATTCAACATTTTGATGCGACCTTGTGATCGCAAGTGTGTTTGAAGTTTAACATAAGAATAATGCTTTATTACACACACATAATATAAAATATATTTAAATCAACATATAAATGTAATTAAAATTCATATCTTGTCTTTGAACTTGTTTGAACCAGTACCCGGTCTATTTTGTTTATTTAAAACGGGCACGCGGCAATATAGTGATCATGCAAATTAGTATAATATTGTTTTTTTTTCTGTAATACCAATTTCGACCAA